TCGAACCAACCTTGACCAACACATATTCAATAATGCCCTTTGGCTCCCGTAAGGTACGGTCCGCTAATTGGAGGCACATCCGGGTCGTCTTAAGCCCTTGCAATCCCAATTGCTTGTAAATCGAATAAGGCATGAGGTTTATACCGGCTCCCAAGTCTAGCATCCCGGTTGTAGCCTTTCCATTTCCAAATGTGATCTTCATGACGAAGGCTCCCGGGTCACATTCTTTCTGAGGTATGGTAGTCGAGGCTACCTCGAAAATCATCACCTTCTCATTATCCACGAACCTCCTCTTTTTCGAAGCTAAGTCCTTGAAAAATTGAACATATGCCGGCACGTTTTTGATAACGTCTAGAAGTGGGAGGTTCACGTTTACCTTCGAGAGTATGTTGAAAAGATCTTTGAATTGACGCTCCTTCTTGGTATCTTGCAAACGGCTCGGGAAGGGAACCGGTGGTCGGTAAGGTGCATCCGCTTTATGCAAAGCCTCACGGGCATTTTTCTTCGAACTCTCCTTCTCAATTTTCTCATCAACTACGGCTTTGCCTTTCACAACATCAACTTTCTCACCCGGCTCATCATCATCCTCATCAACAACTACTTCAACAACCTCATTTTCCTCGGACATTCCAACTCGGTTATCAACCTTCTTACCGTTCCTCAAAACCGTGATGGCATTCAAGTGCTCGGGTTGGCTCGGGAGTTTGTCTTTCATTTTGCTCCTTTGGATTTCCCCGATGGAACTCCCGAGTTGCCCCATTTGAGTCTCGAGGCATTTAAGAGAGGCTTGAATCGATGGCACTCCCTTGATGGTGTCGTGCAATGTGGAGACGGTGGAAGCCAATGATTGAAGGCACTTCTCTAAGCATTCGATCCGAGTCTCCGAGGATTCTCCGTTAGCATTCCTCTCGGGCTCGGGTGGAGGTGGCAAAGGTTGTCTCGGGATGAAGCCTCCACGCCCTTGTGGATATCTTTGAAACTCGGGCCTCGGTTGATAGCCTTGAAATTCAGGCCTCGGTTGGAACGGTGGTCGGTTGTTCGGTTGAGCATATTGTTGAGGTTGGGAATAGGCTTGTTGTGGTGCCGGTTGGGGTG